GTTTAATTTGGATTAAAGAGCATGAAACATATTTTGCTTAAAGAATTGAACCTTGATGCCTTAGCATTTCCATTATTGATATTTCATTTTAGGGTAAACTGCCGAATTGCCCCCTGAACTTGTACATAACTATCAATTTACCCCATGACCTTTTTTTTTAGTGAATTAAGGGCTCGAATTAAATTTTATTATCAATGTTCCCCCTGCCGTCTAAATCATCAACATTTCATCCAATTTGCCGTTAAATATGAGGGCAAATTGGTCATTTCATATATTAAAAATAATTAAATACTGTAAAATAAAATAATATGACATATAAAATGAAAAAAAAAATCATTTTAATAAATAGAGCAACCTCCCCTGCGTATAAACCCTACAAACCCAGCCCCCAATCGCCTCCCCACCCACACAGCTCCACCTTGATCTCCCCCACCTGCGCACCTCCCGAACCCTCAAACCCAGTAGCCCTGACCCACCTCACAAAACCTCTTTGATTAGGGAGCTAAGAAGAAATCGAGGGTGGGAATTAAGAGAAGGGAGAGAGGATGAGGAAATGAAATTGAGAGAGAGAGAGAGAGAGGGGTGGGGCTGCTGAAATTTCTAGAGAATTTGTTGCAGGAGGGAGGGTTTGTGCTTCTTTTTCTCTACTCTATGTTCTATGTTTCTGATTGGCACAAGTGGCTTCTGGGAATTATCATGATTCATGAAGCTCCAATGGCCGTTTGAATTTGAGAGGTTGGGTAAAGAGATTGAGGTGAGGGTGGTTGTGGCTGTCAGGGGTTGGGTAAAAAGAGAGAAAGAAAGAGAAATTGGGCATTTCAGATTTGATTTTGTGCTTGAGGTGGTCGTGGGTTGCAGGTATGGGTCAATTCTTTTTCTTTTTCTTTTTTTTCTATTTTTGAGGGAGGGATGGGTGTGCTGTGAATTTTTTTTAGGAGGGCTAGGCAATGGTGCAGAGGGTGGGTGGGGTGTGGCTGTTGCAGGTCCAAGAAGGGGGAAGAGGGCTGAGGGAGATATCAGGTTTGATTTTGTGCTTGAGGTGGTCGTGGGTTGCAGGTATGGGTCTGGTTGATAGTCACAATTTTTAGGTCAATTCTTTTTCTTTTTCTTTTTTTCTATTTTTGAGGGAGGGATGGGTGTGCTGTGAATTTTTTTTAGGAGGGCTACGCAATGGTGCAGAGGGTGGGTGGGGTGTGGCTGTTGCAGGTCCAAGAAAGGGGAAGAGGGCTAAGGGAGATATCATGTTTGATTTTGTGCTTGAGGTGGTCGTGGGTTACAGGTATGGGTATGGTTGATAGTCACAATTTTTTTTTAATTTTGTTTTTGTTTTGGGAGGGATGGGTGTGCTGCGAAACTTTGTTTAGGAGGGCTAGGCAATGGTGCAGAGGGTGGGTGGGGTGTGGCTGTTGCAGGTCCAAGAAGGGGAAGGGGGCTGAGGGAGATATGAACATGGAGATGGTGACTGTCCAACCCTACCAAACTTGAAATGACCAAAATAACCCTCAAATTGACGGATTAATGGATGAAATCTTCGAATTTTGACGGTAGGGGGAACATTGATAATAAAATTTAATTCAAGCCCTTAATTCGCTAAAAAAAAAGGTCAGGGGGTAATTTGAGAATTATGTACAAGTTCAGGGGGTAAATCGGCAGTATACCCTTCATTTTAAAACTCAACCTCTACAACAATCGAATCAAATTACTTGTCCATTTTGCTTATCACTTTTATTTTGGTACGTTTAATTATTTCTTTGTGTTCAGAGATTTGCCTACCTGCTCCTTGAGGATACGATACTTGGACTTCCAAGATTATTACTACATGTGACTACTTGCACTTGGGTAGACGCAACATGTAAATAGAAAATAGAATCCATAAATGCCTAGTATGCTCGGATTTGAATTTGGTTATCGTTTGACTGTCGATCGGATATCGCATATTAGGCGTTATCAAAGTTAGATATGTTCAGACCGTTGGATCGACTCCATTTTCATATATGTTGATCTAGGCATCTCTAGGATCATCTAGGAATTTGCGGATCTAGAATCGGAGTCTTGGATGCTCCGATTCAATGACTTAAAGTTTGCGTAAAACAATAACTGTCTGATCGTGCGATCGCGAGCGATCCGGCCGTTCGATTTGGACCAAACTTGCAAGACGTGTAATCTAAACCTTGTTGAACCCATATGAACTTTCGGATCAGAAAACGGAGGTCGTGGGCCCCGTGGGCTTGGTTGACCAGATTTGGGAAGTTTGACCACTCGGTTGACCGAGCGTCTTTCGAGGCTATTTCATCGTCCAGAACATGTAGTTGGACCTTAAGAACTTCTCGTTCGGCGTACACACACTTGAATCCTGGGAAACTAGGATTTTATTTAAAGTTCTCGTTCGAAGCACTTTATATTAATCTCGTTCTCGTATCCTGAAATAGTTACTCTGGCTACTCGTACTCAGCAGGCGGGACCCTCTCAGGGTCAAGCAGCGTGAGACTACTTGTGAGTGGACTTTGTTTTCAAATAATAAGCATTATTTTATGACGGAAAACTATGCATATTGATTTAATGGTTTATTGAATTTATTATATAATCAATTGTTAAACTTGATATTTTTGTAAAGTGTTTGTAATATATTCGGGTTTTGGCATATTCGAGTATCTTGAGTTTATATATATTGATTTCGAGAATTTCTATCTATGCTTGGTTATGTGTGAGGTATGTGGGTGTCGGTAATGAGATTTTGGAAAGGGAGTGGATTATAGTTATGTCAGTTTGAAGTGCTATAAGCACTACCCAATGTACCTCCCCCGGATATGGAAATTATGGATTGGATACTTGGAAATGTGGTGATACTTGGATATGACGGAACCTGGGCACCCTTGACGTGGTATTTTTTAGACCCTTAATGGGGTAGTCTGCGCGTGTAGGACTTGTTACAGGCATACAAGTATTGATGATTTTGTTGTACATGCTGGTAGAGTTAGTCCCCTGGTTAGACGGCTAGTTCCTTAGCCACATGGTCAATTGAGGATTCTTCCATGTGGACTAGTCAAACAATCCCCCGGTTGGATTGTTTCCCCAATACAAACTTGGATTATATATACCTATACATTCCGTCTTATTTATCGGTGAGGATACTTCCTCGCTCATCGTGCTAATAGGCACGCGTTTTGAGAGAGTGGTTTGGGGAAATGGTTTTTCTATGGGATGGATATTTGGATATTTGGATACCTTTATGAGGTTTGGATTTCACTGTGGTTTTGACATGGTTATATAAATATATATATATATATATATATATATATATATCTATGTCGGTTCTGAATGCATATCTTGTTTTGCATTGTTTTCCAAACGGTGGGGTTACTATATGTTGTTTTCAACTACAAAACTTTGTTTTTGTCCATTCACACTTTTCTGTTTTGTGCCCCCAAGGCAATAGCTAGATTCAAATCTAGCAGCCGCCGAGACCTTCCTTCTGAGTCTCGAGCTTCTGTAGGACACTTTTTATTCGTTTTCATTTCCGTTAACCTTTATTGCTCGGTTGTAAATCGAAATTCTTTAGATAGCTCTTATATTGCCCGTGTTTAGGATGGATTGTAAGGCTGGATGCCTAATATGTAAATTGCATGAATTTATCTCGTGTATGCTGCCTGTTGGAATGTTTTAAATGTGCTTTTAACAGGTTGAGAAATTTGGAAATATCCATTTTTTAGGAGAGATTCTGCCGAAATTTCGACAAAAAATCTCATTTCTTTTGTAAGTGAGCTCGGCATCGGTATGATGTCAAAAATACCACAGAATTTATCTCAAATTCCGAAGAATTCGGGGCAGTTCCTATCAAAATTGGTGGGCACACTTCCTTGGCTAACCCATATTTGCAGGGTTTTTTTTTACTTTTACTATCATTCAATGTTTAAAAAAGAGAAAAAGAAAAAAGAAAATGGCAAGAAAGGATGAAAAGAGGCAGCCAACCGTACTCTTACACGATAACACCTCCTTCTCACCACGTGCCAGGCCACCGCACCCAACCCAACTGAACCCCCAACCCAAGCAACCATCATCCCCTCCACCCTTCCATAATATCTTCTCCTCTCTCTCTCTCTCTCTCTCTCTCTCTCTCTCTACACACTTCTTTACAGTCCAAAATGGCCCGCCTCCTCACTCAAACTCTGCAACTCCGCCACTCTCTCCTGCACCGCCCTCGGGTCCCGCCCTCCCTGACCCAGGCCCATCGGGCCCGCTCGACCCGATCCGGCAAGGGCCAGTTGATCGAGATCGACCTTGACCCGTCCACCTCCTCGTCGTCGTCGTCATCGCCGGCGAGTGATTCGGAGAAATTAATGCTAAAGAAGCTAGACGACATCGTTCAGACCATCCTCGTCCAGAGGGCCACTCCCGATTGGCTCCCCTTCGTTCCTGGCTCCTCGTTCTGGGTCCCACCTCGACTCGCCCCTTTGAAAGTGACTGACTTGGTTGGCAAATTGGCTGACCAACTCACAGATGAAGAGTCCCTCTCTATTGCCACTGATCGAGGATGGCCTTGCTCTCAATTCTTCGTTCATGGTATGGGCTTTTTCTTTTAATTTCCTTTTCTTTTTCTTTCTTGGTTTATGTATTTAGGAAATATTTTTTATTCAATTTGGTTTGATTGAATTGTTGGTAATCATAAGGAATTGAAAGGGGTTTTGTTTTGTGTGTGTGTCAAATTTTTTGTTTTTTTTGGGGTTTATGTATATAGACAGTTTTTAATTAGTTTTTAGCTTGATGGGTATGATGGAATTGTTGGTTTTTATAAATTGAAATGGGGTTTTTAGTTTTGTGGCAATTAAAGGGAGCTTTTGTTTCTAGGCACCCTCAATTTTATCTTCAATGGTAAACATAATTTGGGACATGATGGAATGCTAAATGCTTTTTATATCCGTCGAGCCAGAGTTTGCATCCGAAACATTCAGTCTTCTACAGAAGAATGAAAGAAACCTGGTTACATTCTGCTCAATTTATGAGTTTTCTTAATTTATTATGGAGAATTGACTCTGGGAAGGGCATGAAATGACATCTGAAGATGTACTTTTGAATGCGTAAGATGAATGCTGCTTGCTTATTTTATCATATGCCTTGCAGATTTTAAATGTAATGTATCTTTCAATCTACAAAAGCAGATTGCTATTTAATAGACCTTTTAGCTCTTAATGAGTCAATCTTTTGGTTACATGTTTCTTGGCTGCAGGGAGTGGATCTACAGAAACAAGGGAGGTGGATATGGAGGCAGAAGGATCAGCAGAAGTAGAGGTGGAGGTGGAGGTAAAGGTTTTGACTGAGTCACAGAAGCCATCTCGCTGTGAGGATGATTAAGGATTGCTCATCTCTCTAGCAGCCTGGTTGCTTGGGTGAGTTCCCTTACTTTCGACAAGCACCAATGCTGTTTTTCACACATGTTATGACCGAAATAGTTGTTATTGGATCTTAGGAGATGGATTTAACTTGTTTAGGTTTAGGCCGTTGGATTTTGGTGGTAAATCCACTTGTTTGCATTGATGTATTGTAATTATTATCTTCTGCATTTATATTATTGTGTTCTATAGTTGTATAGTTTGGAATAATAACATCCAACAACAAAAGGGAATGAAATATTAAATGGTGGGAATGTTGTATGTATCCACATGGTCATACCTTGATTCCTCAGAGCAAATTATCCTTGTGTATATAGTCTCATTGTATATTCATGTGTATCATCTTGTGCCTTATTTTTCTCTTCTATTTTAGGTTTGAATTTCTATAGCTACATGCTTGCCACAATTTTCCCAGTTCGGAGGGTCTGTGTCTGCGAACAGCTCTTTCTAACCTTTTCAAGGTTGAAACTGGCAAGCTCGCTTAGCTTTGCTAAGTATCTAAAAGCTTGAGAAAAGGAAAATTTGGGCTATAAAGAGCCGAGCATACTAAGGGAAATCTACATCTACACTTATACTTTGCGACTTTGGTCAGTGTTTACTTTGCCACCTAAGAAAAATGTCTGTTGTACCCCTTGAAATTTCAAAAAGTTGAAATGTGATGCTTGACATCATTTTATCCAATTTCATCACATTTGGTAATGTGACGTGCACACGACCCTTTCTAGAGGTTGCTCTCATAATCTCCTCTCTTATTTGTCTCTCCACTCTCACCTTTGTCTCTTCCAACTATTCTCATAACAAACATTTCGATCTGAATGCCTTCTCGTAGGTGATGAAATTCCGTTTTCAGAATCCTCCTTTCTCTCTCGCTTTTCTTTCTGTCAAACCTCTGCAAATTCGGTGTGCATGTATCTGTTTTGTTCAGGGATGGTTTGCATCAACTTTAAATTCTTAATTTTGCACTTGCTAGATGAAATTTCCTGCATGTATACTGTGATAATCTTTAGAATCATGAATAGGTTTTTACTAGAAATGGATTACACTCGTGCGTCTTAACTGAGTAATTGAAAATTTTAGGTCTAGCAATAGCTGAATTGGAATTCTGGCATCCTGGTTATGTATCTGAGGCGTAAAAGTCGAGGAAGATCATTGCAAGTTCACTTCAATCTCAATTTGGTTGTATTGTGGAGATAAGATCAATCTTCTACCTTGTGCTTCTGATTCAGAGTATGCAGAAATGAAGAAGCTTATCCTCTAGGTTGTTCAGCTGTTCTGGAGTTGATACAAGTGGGGCCAGAGCGGAACTCAAGGGTGTCTTTGGGTTTGGGTGGTGGAGAAGGTTGTGGAGGAGAGATGATATAGTGTCATATGAAATTGGTGTTTTGAAATGGAGAATTGTAGTGAAGATGTTTTATTCACTTGTATGAATAAATTCGTCTTGCATAAGTTGAAGCATGAATTTGGGGTGGGTTGGATGAGTCATGAGTTTGTGCATGGTATGGGTGGCATTAAAGTATTGTGAAAGTTAATTTCAAGGGGATATTTATGTTAGGAAAATAATGAAAATTATAATTTTTATTTACTTTTTCTTTTTCCAAGATTTAAACTCTTTTTTTGTTGGATAATGACACCGAGATTTACACTTGAATTGAATACCCGGTATATTAATTAGGCAGCCTATTAATTATGTGCTATTTTGAGTTAAGATGTGGGCAACAAGAAATTCTTATTTTTTCTCCTTTTTTGTAGAAAAATTTCTTTAGTGGAATGTTTTATGCTCATCAAAGGTTACAATCAATCAATGGTAATATTACCATGGTAGATTTCATCTCATCTTGGTGGAGAGAAGTTAAAATCACTTCAAAAGATGACCTAATATTTTCATCTAGGTGTCCATTTCTGTACAAATCTTTTGGAGAGAAAGTGCTCAAGCCACCTTAAGGTCCCACTTTGTTTGCGGAAAGGATTTATTTCCTATATTTGGTAATGCTAGAAAAGTAACAAGGAAATGCCACTTTATTTCCTTTCTCATGTTTGGTTTGTGTAAGAATGTAAAATAAATTTTGTTTAATTTTTCAATTATACCCATATTAGATAAAATAAAGAAAAAATACATTTAATGCTATATTGTAATTTTAAATTGTGAATGGAACAAAATGGTCCTTAAAAATTTGCATAACTGATGTTATGGCGTTGTGGAAAATTCAAAGTAAAATGGAGACCCCTATTAACACAATGCATTGTTAAAATTCATACCTTTTGAAGTTGAAGTCCATTAGCAACGTTGGTTATCAATTCAAATTGTGTAGGTAAATCACTAAACTTAGCCTAGGAAGAGGGCGGGGTTAAGCCAGCAGGCTAGTTTGAACTTTCTACCGATTTAATTTTGTCATGTGAAATAACTCAACAAATTTATTTATTTTAAACTATTTATGCATATGAAATCACAGTAACATATTAAATTGATTAATTATTTTTTGCACCATAAAGTAAAGAAAGAATAATACTTCCCGCTTTGCCCATAAGGAGGAACTCCTCCTTACCTACTACGTGACTCAACTACAAACAAACGCTTGTTTCTCTTTTCTTTTTTTTTCTTTTTTTTCTTTTTTTCATTCTTAAAGGTACATTTATTTTTTACTTTAATTATTCTTAACAAAAAAGATACGTGTCAGATTGTAGCTAAGCCATATCAGTAGGCAAGGAATGAAGCATTATTCAAATTCATGGCACAAGATATTTTTGATGCAATCCTAAAACGTTGAGAATCGTGAGACATAATCTGGTTGAATCAAGTCCAAACTTAGCACTAGACGAATTCATAGTGGTAGCTACTTATATGTGGGAGTCTTGAGTTCTTCAATAAGAGTTTTTTTTTTGCCGAACTTCAATACAAGGTTATGGTTGATAATTGTCACCAATTGTCATATCAGAGCATAAACAGTCGGGTCAGTATTGAGAAGTAGGAAACTACCTCCATTTGTCAACAATGTGAAAGAGCGCCTCCCCGTTCGCAACCCACCCCCAAACCCAGGACCACCCCTTTTCTCACCACTGCCTTTCCTTTCCTCTTAGCAGCCTACTCTCCCACATATGGGCGGTTCCAGGATTCAAAAGCCGGTTGGGCAAAACTTACATACTAAACTAGACGGTATGAGTGAATTTCATTAACAAACATAAAAAGATACACCTAGTCTGGGGGGACATAATGAGCTTTACCCTCAAATATCTCTATCCATAAATAAAAGTTTAACAAATGCAAAAGCTAAAAGCTGAAGGCTCGACAATGGGAGACTCAGGAAGATTTTGCTCTTCACATATTGGAGTAGATAAAGAAGTGCTAGAAGGCAATGTATTAGATGATGACCCATCATTTTTTCCTTAAAAAAAGACAACAAATTTTTTGTTCTCTTGGGATTCCGATTATGATCCAACATAATAAAAGATAGCCTATGAATAATATGTAGAAAGAATTTTAATCAAATATACCAACAAAAAATCACACAAATTCTCACAATAGCATCTCAACAATACCAAACCAAAATTTATAATTCATCCATAATTAAACCATAGAATATTGAATTTTAACAAAATCCCAAATTAAAGCCCTAGAATAATTCATCCCTAATCAAAGCCCTAATTTATTTCAACAAAATCCCAAAATTATAATTCATCCCTAATTAAACCCTACAATACTCAATTTTAAATTAAAACTATAATTAAAGATATATAGCAAATGAGAGAATGAGAATAATACTTGTTGTCGACAAAGGAGTGGAGAAAATGTTGTTGCAAAGTTGCCACCTAAGATAATAGAAGATGTAGCCAATACAGGGAGAATTTGACTAAATAAAAAATAAAAAATAAAAAATAGGGAGAAGCTGTTGTCGGGTAGCAAAGAGAGAGAGAGAGAAACAAGAAGTCTAATAGCCAAAAGAGAAGGAGAGAGAAGACATGAGACCATTTGGATGGGCAACATATGTGTAGGTTTTGCTTTTAATTTTTTTATTATTTTGGGATGGGCTTATAACACATGTAGGTTTTTTTTTTTTATTGAAAATTTTTGAGATGGGCAGGCATAGCATCGCCCATGCTCCCACAGCCGCCACTCTCTCTTTCTCTTCTCCCCCAAGCCCCACAACCAAACTCGACACCTACAAAGTCACCCACCTCCCATTTGCACCCCGCCGCTCCCCTTTTAGCAGCCCACCCTCACACATTCACCACCCCACTCCGAGACCTAGCTTTGCCACACCCAGTGACGCCAAGACCTAGTGACACCCACACATCTTCTTCTTCTCTTCTACAATAGCTCAACGACGCCACGAGGTAGGTGGCTGTCACGCCCCAACCCACGAATTTAAGTAACCTTGGGTTAAGACGTGATTCACACTTTAATTATAGAATTTAATAAAAACTATAACTAAAATGTGAAGAAACATTTAAATAAATAAAATAAATATTTCACATAGAATATTCAGCAAAAAACAACAACATCTGAAATCTTAAAAATTTTACATTATTTTACAAGTTAGAACTACTCGAAAATCCACAAAAGAGTAGCTCATTATTCATCCACAAGCTATGTACACACTACATATAGGCAACTATCCTATACTTTCATTGGTTGCATGTTGATTTGCTTCAAGTATGGATAACTATTTCTACAATTACAATAGCTCATGGTAATGTTGCTTAGTCACAATGACACTTGTAAGCCTTAGTGTACTGCAAGTAAGCGTTCTTCCACGTTGATTAATTAGTATACAAGGAAATGTAAAGTTGCCAACTACAACAATCAAAGTCAAGAGGTGTTGCATGCAAGAGATGAAGTGATTGAGTTTCCTAAGCCCAATTCTAATAAGAACATGAATTAAAACTATTATTAGACTTTAGCTTCTTAATGCATAGAAGGTAAATAACACAATTCTAACAATTGAATATTATTCTAAATATATACAATTAAATACCCAAAAATATCTAAGGGTACCCATTTAGAGAAAAAAAAAATTATATATATAATTTATAGTTATTCAAATGAACATATATATTTACTAAATACAAATAATTATTATAATAGTATTGTAAACGTAAAACAATACATATATATATATATATATAAACATTTAATCTTCTTTAAAAACTTTTAAGAATACGGATTCTCACAATGGCCAATAAAGCATCTGATAGCTAGTTGGCTCTCTCTGAGTGGCACAATGTAACTTCAAGTTGGTGAGGTTATGGCCAGTTTGGGATTGCTGTCACTTTTAAAAAAAGTTGCTTCTGCTGTGCTTTGAAAATAATTAATTGTAAAGTAAAACAGCTTCATGTTTGGTAAACAATATTTTTAAAGTGATGTTAGTACAACAAGCAGTGTCAAAACTATTTGGTAAATTTTAATATAAGACTGTTATAACTGTGAATAATGACTAAAATAGACATGATGTTGAAAGTGTTATACGCTAATCATGTGGTGGCAGTGGTTATGAAAGAGATGAAGGTGAAGGTGGTGGTGAAAGAGGTGGTAGTGAAGGAGGTGGTGGTGGTGGTGGGGATGGCGGTTGTGTAGGTGGAGGTTGAGGAGGAGGAGGTGGTGGTGGAGTTGGATGTTGTTTGTACCATATCTGACCCTCCACTCATACAACGACACGTGGATCATAGAAGCTCACCCAAGTACCCAAGGCCTCGAACAATCGGCATCGGCTACCGATGACATTGTCTCAAAGCTGCAAACAACCGATACAGGCCCAGCTCGTCTACAATCGGCACCCCATACCGATTGTACATAATCAGCCTTGAAGCACCCGCCCGAAATATCTAAGGACTCGTGTCAACCTCACAGGGCCCTCCCACGAGTCCCACATCGGAAATGAACACCACAAGCATCCCAAATGCCCTCTATAAATACACCCCTTCACCATCAACAAAGGGGTAAGACTTTTCAGCTTGACTTT